CACTTCAACTGATAACCCATTCATTTGCTTTAAGTTTATCGAAAGGGTAACCCTTTGCTAAAACCCTTTTAAAAGCGCTTCATAGGGGTTTCGTGCGCACGCACTACAATGAAATCATTCGCAAGTTGAGCAAAATGCGGCTTCGCGGCAACTTCGGAGCTTTGACGGACCAGCTCGCCGTCTTGTGGTGCGCGAGCAATAATAGTCCGTATAAGTCACATTTTAGGGATAAAATTTATGTGAAAGCTGAAAGGGTAACCCTTTCAATATGGTTAGTGGTTTGAAGGGGTTTCGCAAGGATTTCGATAGCCTTACAATAGCGCTTTAAAAAGCCTTTCGAATGGGTTTTGGCGAGATTCGACTAGGGACAGCAAACCCATTCGCAAAACCCAATCAATAACCCCGGAAAGGCTTACCAGTCCGGTCCCTGCTACCATCACTAGTCCAATAGTCTATTCTTCATAAAAGAAAATCATACATACAGGGAGTAACGGAAACCCCCTTACAAGCGGAAAGTGGCAGAACGTACTGGTGAAATTGAACCTTTAGCGTGGTTCGTAATCTGCAAATTCACTCATTTTAAAAAGTAACATTTTCAAAAAATGAGTAACAGTTCCCGAGACGCGTTACTTGCCCATCACTAAAGTGGCCCCTCTCAACCCTCACCTGCAAAGAGTCATACCACCTCCTAACAGATATGCTGCCCCGGAGATGCTTTACATTGAAGTTTATCAAAAGCATTGGCAACATACGCAACACTAAAAAGCAGCAATGCATATTATCTTTCCACTCTTTGTTTATGTTTTCCTAGTGTTTTCTCACAAAGAAATGGCAATTTAACTGACGTCAACAAAAAAATTTTTAGTAGTATGTACATTTTACCATTTCACGAGCTCTTTTTCACCATGTATTCCTAGTTGATTCCTAGTAAAAATCCAAAGTACAATAGCACACATCAATCGATTCAACAACAGACTTTGTACGACTTTCTTTACTCAACATGACAAACGTTGTCAAACGTGTCGTGCAATCGTGCCATGTCTGTCATCAATCACATCACCTACGAAGATTGGTAGTCAAACCAAAAAGATCCAAGCAAGATCCAAGATCTTTTTGAGGAAATTTTGATTGCATTTCTGCTTTCCTATTAACTATTCCTAATATTCGCCTTCTCTTCACAATTTCCCGAGACATTTTTTCTGAAAAAGCGTACATAAATTATGAAAATGTACTAGGATTCCATATTCTTCAAGATATTCTTCGAAAGATCAACAGCAAGGAGTTATCAACAGTGTCATTTTAGCAAAAAGGATGAATGCATGCAAATTTCAGCAAAGAGATGATAGATATGGATGAAAATAAAAATTACCCATTGATAATTGTCATTGTTACGTTTGACGTTTTTGTGAAGTTTATGGAAATTATTTATTACAAAACATAAAATTAAATACAATTTCTTATTTCGTCTGCTAAAATTTCAATTAAAAAACGAATTAACAAAGTTCTGTTGCTTTTGTGGGCACGCACGCACGCACGTGTGCATTTTTCGCCATTGATTTGACAACAACAAGAAGCTGCTTTGTCCGTTGTTTGTTCCACACAAGAAGGAAAAGACTTGGAACTGGAACTTGGACTTGGAAAAGAAGACAAGGAAGCATGCTAAAGCTGTTCAGACTGTGCATTTCTTGAAAATCCGTGTACAGTGTACTGAAGTTACGTCGAAAGATATCATTCATCAATAAGGAGGCATATTTTTGAATTCTTGAATAAATATTAAGGTTCATAGCTTTTTTATTTACTTTCTCGTGTAGTTAAAGGTGCAAGTTCGTCATCGCGGTAGATTACAGCCACACACGGCCGACAACATGCGAAAAACAGGGGCGTTTAATGCGATAATAAGTCGTAGTCTTTGCTTTCAATCATTTGCAGTAGTTCCATTGTCATACCTACGACTGTTGTTGCATCGGCTTACAAGTCATATGTCGTCTTTGATGATGAACAAAATCTTACCCTAAAGGTAGTGTGTTTGTTCATCCAGAAGAGTCGCATAACATATCTCTTGCCATTGACTTCGACCACGCGAGTTATTCGAAAGTTGTTAACCACGTGCGAGTGCTATAAGCTGCAAGGAACAAACTTGCATCTTAAGCATAAAGGGCGCCACACACCGGGCCCGTATGCGTGATGTGCACGGCACCATGTGCGTAGAGATGACGTTGTATCGTATAGGATTGTAGGGATTGTATGAAACACCATCGCACACCGCGATCGTGTGATGACGTGCACGTCACGCATAGGGGCCCGGTGTGTGGCGCCCTTTAGAGCGCCAAAAATGTGTGCGCGTTTGAATGCGCGGCATTGGAGGTGTATTGACAATTTGTGTTGTGACCTACCAGGCTCGCATAAATGAAGAAAGCTCATCCAAACTGTCCAAACATTTTAGAGGTATTGACAGTTTTGCGTTGAATCCTACCAGGCTCACATGAAATGACGAAAGCTAGTCTAAACACTTTATTTGAGGGCTTTGAGGACATCGTGAGGGCATTGATTTCGTTAGTGATGGGAACGATCAAATTTGTACTACCTAAGAATACTAGGTTACAAATGTTATTTTTAGGTTTTCAAAAATTTGCGTTTTGCGGTGTGATACTCCACACAAAGGTTTCTTATCACCAGTATGTTTTGCCACTTTCGGCTTGTTAGGGGTTTTCCGTTACACCCTGTATATTGCGAATGACACTGGTTGTATTTATTAAAATTTCATTAATTCTTTGAAAATTTTAATTGCAATCGGGTTTTCGTTTTTAAATACATCTAAGTACTTGTTTTAACTCTATTTTTATATTTGTTTCAGAATTGTAGATATAAAAGCAGAACCAAAACAAAGTGAGTACATAAAGTATTACATAAATTTACACTTTGAAGGAAAGCAAATTAAAAGTATCTTGTTAAAATGGCTTGTTCATAATTCGATGGAAATATTGAGTGAGGTTGTTCATTTTAGAAGATCGCATGTCACTTTAAACCCATAGACTAATAAAAATATTATATTTATTTGTTACAGAAACCGCGAAACAGACTGCGAAGGAGAAATACATTTGCCTTCACACAGGCAAGAGAAAAATTGTACCAAAACCCAGAGTGAGGCGGCCGCCAAAGAAATCATAGTTGTATCTCCAAACTTATTGTTGAAATGTCTTTGAGACAATAAGTGTAAGCACGACTGGCCAAGAAAGGAGCATAATGTTTTCAGAGGTAAAAATTAAATAAAATTGGCAGAGTGCAAGTCGGATTCGCGCAAGAAGGGTGCCGTTCCATTTTGTATATATAGAAGATTAATTGTTATGTTATTTTAATTTTTACTCTGTTGTTATAGTGGCAATAGTACATATTTTGTAAACATTGGAACTGCCCAACTATTACCATCAGATACAGCCTACAAATCGTCATGGCCAAAATCGAGCAAAATGCACGGTACTTTGTATGGTAGAGCCCCCCTTTAATTTGTGCTCAACTCTCTTACTATTACGTTTTATGAGATACAGCCCGGGGAAGACGAACAGATAGCGAAGTCTCAGTAATAGGGTTCCGTTTTCAGCCTTTGGGTGCGGCACCCTAATAATATTCCCAGAGCCTCGAACCAAGCAAAGCTATTGTTAACTATTTCCTATAGCTTTGCCTATAGCGTTAGAGGGGACTGTGTGCTGTCAGATGAAATTGAATAAAGTGTAGTCAGCCAGTGGCGCCCCCTCGAGGAAATCAGTAAATACAGCCAACCAAAGTACGTTTTGGCGAAAATGGTAAAGATTAAAGATTATGCGAAAAAGTTACAATAATTTAGCGAACAGTCGGTGTACCAAACTGAAATGTTTTAATGTTGCGTTTTCTTGTGTTCCTGAGCGACAGGTAATCTATACGGAAGCTAAGTTAGATCATAGATCGGGCCCTGCAGTGTCGTCAGAGATCGGGCCCTGCAGTGTCGTCAGGTCAGAGATCGGGCCCTGCAGTGTCGTCAGGTCAGAGATCGGGCCCTGCAGTGTCGTCAGAGATCGGGCCCTGCAGTGTCGTCAGAGATCGGGCCCTGCAGTGTCGTCAGGTCAGAGATCGGGCCCTGCAGTGTCGTCAGAGATCGGGCCCTGCAGTGTCATCAGGTCAGAGATTGGGCCCTGCAGTGTCGTCAGGTCAGAGATCGGGCCCTGCAGTGTCGTCAGGTCAGAGATCGGGCCCTGCAGTGTCATCAGAGATCGGGCCCTGCAGTGTCGTCAGGTCAGAGATCGGGCCCTGCAGTGTCGTCAGAGATCGGGCCCTGCAGTGTCGTCAGGTCAGAGATCGGGCCCTGCAGTGTCGTCAGAGATCGGGCCCTGCAGTGTCGTCAGGTCAGAGATCGGGCCCTGCAGTGTCGTCAGGTCAGAGATCGGGCCCTGCAGTGTCGTCAGGTCAGAGATCGGGCCCTGCAGTGTCGTCAGGTCAGAGATCGGGCCCTGCAGTGTCGCCAGGTCAGAGATCGGGCCCTGCAGTGTCGTCAGGTCAGAGATCGGGCCCTGCAGTGTCGTCAGGTCAGAGATCGGGCCCTGCAGTGTCGCCAGGTCAGAGATCGGGCCCTGCAGTATCGTCAGGTCAGAGACCGGGCCCTGCACCCAAGAAAACAAGAAAATCGCTTCATTAAAACATGTACAAAATTGCAATACATGTAAATTTGGTATACCGACTGTATTTATTTACCCAACTGCCTCAGGACTTAAGGAGGGTCATGTTTTTGAATATGTGTGTTTGCCTGTTTGTGAAACGTGTTAAAGATGTCCTTTTAGCTTTAAGTAGTTTTAATTTTTAAGATGTAAAGTTATTATACAGGGTTGTCCAAAAGCGTATTCGGAGCTTGATTCTCAAATTTTTCGAAAACTTGCAGCGCGATGTGGTTTGGCTGTTTCATGTATCAAGCAAATAAATCGTCGCTTCAAGACGAGCATCAACAGGTTTAAAAATTCATCAGAGTTAGCCAGGTGCCCGTAGCTCAATTGGCAGAGCAGTGGGACAGTTTCCCACGGACCCGGGTTCAAGTCCCGGCGGTCGCTGATATTTTTTTCAATTTCCTTTTTTTTATTCAGTATAATATACCTACCTAGCACTAAAAATGAGGGTAATTTTGCACTGTGAATACATTGAAATCCCAATACAAATAAGGAGTCGTCCGATATAGGAAACCCCAATCGCATAGAGCTGCTAGTTTTCGAGAAAATGAAAATCATACACCGAGAACTTTTTTAGACCGGCTTGTATAAGGTCCTATTAAATTCACTGCAAATATTTTAGGGGCAGATGAAATAAAATATAAGAATGTACTATGCAAATTTTTAAAGAAATCTACACGCTAGTTTTCGAGAAAATTGCATTTAACTAAAAAAACACAAAACGAAAAAAGTGCACCAGTTCAGTTTGTCCTAGAAACACACACTACGATGAATTTAAATTACGCGCCAAAAAAAGTTGCTGTGATTAGTTGGTTGTTAGTGTGCGTGCCGTGTAAGTGAATCCTGTCTACGTGGCGGAACGTCAGTCGGGTCAGTCAAAGGATGTTCACATAATTAATTAAAAAGTTTGTTTGAAAATAAAAAATAAAAACTAGCGTGTAGATTTTTTTTTAAATGCCTTAAATGTTTTTCTTATACATATTTACGCATGCCCTTAAAATATTTGCAGTGAATTTAATAGGACCTTATATAAATTGTGTTCAATTGATTGGCTCGAATGCTGAGATCGGCTATCAGGTATTATAGTAGGTACATAGCCCCCATAGAAAAAGGTGTTCGTTCATAATCTGATCATGCCTGCTAAGAAAAAGTTGTTCAGAGTTCATAATCCGATCATTCCTGCAAAAAAAAGTTATTCTGAGTTAATAATCTAATCAAGCCTGCAAAGAAGAAGTTGTTCTATCTGATGTCACAATCTGATCATACCTACAAAGAAAATTTGTTTCGAGTTCATAATCTGATGATCATGCCTGCTAAAGAAAAAGTTGTTCAGAGTTCATAATCCGATCGATCATTCCTGCAAAAAAAAGTTGTTCCGAGTTAATAATCTAATCAAGCCTGCAAAGAAGAAGAAGTTGTTCTGTCTGGTGTCACAATCTGATCATACCTGCAAAGAAAAAGTTGTTCCGAGTTCATAATCTGTTCATGCCTGCAATGTTTCCGGTTTACCGTTACTTACACCCGGTATAAGTATTAAACCGAAACTACCTGAACTAATTATGTATTCTATGCCGAAACAAAAGATGTATCTAAATAATTGTTGCTCTTTCTTGTCTAGGGACCTACCTATACCTAATATAAAATACGGGGTGTAACCGGGACAGCTCTCCGGATATCCATAGACAATGAAACTGAACAACCTTTCCCTAGGAATGTAGTGTCAAGAAACGACAATAAAAAAATCGGCCTCCCATACAAATCAATTGATTATAGCATTTTTAACGTTTCCTGCGAAATTGTTCAATTTCCTGGTCTGAATTGAATGCAACCTTTACATATAATACAGTTCTTTTAGTGTAAGATTATTTTAAATGATTTTATACCAAATTTACTTACGCCATTTTAGTCGGTTAATTATTGTTTGATATAAATTTGGGTATGTGTGCTTGGAGACGGGTTAAGCGTCGAATTTCGATTTTCAAATTCGTAATCATCATCATCATCATCATTCTCAGCCCACATCCACCCACTGCAGGGTATAGGCCTCTTCTCTACAGCGCCAATCCTTACGGTCCTGTGCCACCCTCGTCCAGTGCGGTCCTGTAAGCTTGACGATATCGTCGGACCATCGAGCAGGTGGTCTGCCCACTGACCTTTTCGCTCCTCTTGGCCACCACTCTGTAACCGCTTTTGTCCACCGATCGTCATTCCGTCTCACCAAGTGTCCTGCCCACCTCCACCTTAACCTTGTTATTCGCTTTCCTACGTCTTCGACTTTTGTTTTACGTCGAATCTCAACGTTTGGTACGCGGTCAACAAGGGAGATACCTAGCATAGAACGCTCCATAGCTCTTTGTGCGACTTTGATTTTGTGCATATTTTGCTTAGTGAGCGTCCATGTTTCGGCACCATGAGTGAGAATAGGATTGGGGTCGGGTTGCATAAAATTTTAAGTCATATTTTTATTAGGCATATGACCAACAGTCATAATGAATACAATTCATATTATTAATACGCATAACCGTTTTAGCATAAACTACAAAGTCATAAATTCGTCAAGCATAATGATACATAGGCATATTATACATTAGCATTATTTTTAAAACGCATAATATTAATAACGCATAATATCCAAAAGCACTACTAAGAAACAGGCATATCATTCAATAAGTTAACCTAACCCAACCTAACCTACCGAAAATAGGCAAAAGGTTATTTATTTACTGCCGCTGTGCCCCCTGTCCCTCTGCTAGCATGTATTCCAAGTAAGCCAGCGGCAGCCATGCATGCGAACATGCAAGCAAGCAAGCAACATGCAAGCAAGCAAGCAACATGCATATGCAATCAAGCACAATCAGGCATGCATACATGTCAACCTAACCCGCAGGCTATGACGGAAGCGAGCCAGCTCGCTACGCTCGCTTTGCTCGCTTCCGTCATAGCCTGCTGAACCTAACCTAACCGATTCGGGGTGCCCTGAACTCTCGTGCTCGCTTCGCTCGCACCCGCCCCTGTTTATGTGCGCGTTACGCTCCCAATTTATGGCAAGAATAAATGAACATTATTCATAAAAATGTGTCTGAATCTAAAGTCTTCCATAAAAATATTATTCTCATTGATCATTATGACAGATAACATGTATGCGACTTAAAATTAGTCTAAAAGAAAATAGGTCAAGCGAAAAGTATGACTTTAAATGCTTATGACATACAAAATTTATGCCAAACAAATAGTATGACAAAGAAATTTATGCGAACCGTGTTATGCCAAACTATATTAGGACCTTCAACAATATGCAAACCAACGGTATCCCGTGAGAATAGGCAGAACACATTGGTTAAACACCTTGGTCTTCAGGCATTGTGGAAGTTTTGATTTAAAGACGTCGTCCAGCTTCCCAAAAGCAGCCCAACCTAGTCCGATACGTCTTCCGATCTCCTTTACCTGTGCTTCTGGGTCAAAGGACAAACGATGTCCAAGATAGACGTAATCGCTGACTACCTCAACAGTGTCATTTCCTACACAGATGTTAGGTATACGTATAGTGCGATTCGTCATGATCTTTGTCTTCGACATGTTCATCCTGAGACCGACTTTCAGAGAAGCTTCATGCAGATCTGAGAGCATTTTCTGGAGATCCAGGACACGTTCGGCAATAAGGACGAGGTCGTCTGCAAATCTGAGATGCGACATGCGTATTCCGTTGATATTGACGCCTCTCTCGCTCCAATCCAACATCTTCATGACATCTTCAAGTACGTTGGTGAAGAGTTTAGGTGAGAGAGTGTCTCCTTGTCGGACCCCCCGGTCAATAGACACAGGGTCGGTGTTTCTGTGCATGCGCACCTGCATTGTCGCAGTCCCGTATAGCTCCCGGAAATTCGTAATTTCGTAATACATGATGCTAATTTAAATGCGCGTTAAGGCTAAACGTCAGACTATAGTCCGACAAGTTCGTGCGCGACTTTCCCAAGGGGTGACAGACGTTGGGTGGGGGGACGTAGCGGGGAAGGGAGATGCGCGCATCCGCGCCGTACGTCATTTTAAAATGATGTGCTTCCTCGCCCTCCCACCGTCTGTACCCTGCAGGAAGGTTGCGCACGGATTTGTCGGACTATAGTGGCCCCCCAAAAAGGCAAAAGTCCCTAGCTGAACACGCTGGTCATCTGGAGGCCTATGTTTGAATTACCGACAATAACTAACCACAAGGAATATTGAAATCTAATAACAGACAAAAAGTGCTAAGAGTGGCCAATTGCATTTATAAATTTCTGCAACATAACTAAAGCGCCCAGTTTTCCTTCCCAAGGCTTTACTGATTCAAAAAAATCTTCGTTGTTAGTTGTTGTCGTTAATTCATAGTGTGGTTAACATGACTTGCGTATTCAGTGTCAGTCAGTGATTTTTTTCACTGAGCGGCGCTAGTGTCGCTTAAAGCCAGGTATTCATTGGGGGCAAAATCCCTGATACTTTGTATCATAGACAATGTTTAGTTTTCGTATAAAATGGGCGCGCGGTGCTGGCAACACTGTCCTGTCATTCACGTCCTCTGCCGTCGCTCGCTTGGTTGATGCGAATTGTAATTATAAATGGTGTAATTTAGTGTGCTTTCGGTGTTCTCGTGTGGTTTTCCCTGTTCGGTGGGGAAGAGAACCAAGTGTATTTGGTTCCGGCGCTTTGATTGTCGGTCGGTTCGATAACCACGCGGCCGTCGAAAAAAAATAACCTTACTTTTAGTCACCCGCGCGTCCAGTGTCCTTTGGTTCGCGTATTGTACAGTAAAACGTGTTGCTGTCGCGAGCAGTGGTGTGCGGGAGAAATCTTTGTTACTGTGTTAAACATTATTTGATGTCGAACTATGAACAATAGTACTCAAGTGCTTGTGAAACTTGTTGGACGGAGTACCACGCGAGCTGGTGCCCGGGTACAGTAAGTCTAGTACCTAAGTCCCAATCCAAAAGTCTTCCTCAAACCTGATACCTATTTTTCCTGTCAAAAACTAGACTTACAAGGAAACGACGGCGTCATCGTTCGCTCGGTAAGCAATTGTTGCTGGGCCCTGTTTAAGTAGATTTTGGACACAAGAATTTCTCGGCCGGAAACTTTCCGGAACAAAATTCTCTCATTAAATTTATTTTATTTAGCTATAGTAAAGAGCACTACGAATCGTAGTCAAATGTTGTTCGAGGCTGATCGACCATTTAGTTTTAGATTTTAAGATAACTTTAATTTGCTTCCACTGCGCTAAGATCAGCTTCGGAATCAAACATTTTTGGTAGCAGAGCGTGGTTGCTTTATTGCAACATAGTTAGCCGTAATTTAGTATTAAGCGTGTTTTTATATTACCCACATATTTTATTATTTTTGGAAAATATTGTTTCGGT